CTTCAACGAACTTAAAATGGGTGAAATAACAGTACCTTTACCCTCCGGCCTCCGCGGTAGATGGTTGGGAGGATGGCCTCGTATCGTATCGTATCCTCGTGATCGTAAGGCGATGTACAATTTGAAAAGCTCAGAGGCATATCAGTATCTAAACAGTGATAAAGTCGGTCGGGTGTTGTTTAACAATATCGGAAACGACCTTATGTATCTAAAAGCGGACATTGAGCTGAGCCAGAGCCTACACCTCTCACATCATAAGGCTTGGGTGCTAGCATCAGTGACAGGTGAAGTACAGAAAGTACTAGGGATGCACCAAAATGGAAATTCTGGGCCGAAACAGAAAATTCTGGATGCACTTGGCTGAAATCCGAAATGGAATATGCTTTGTAATAATTATTTATTATTTTATTAAATAATATAAAGTAATTTTGCAAGACTTTTAATGAAAGTGACAAATAAAATTGGACAGAAAATATATTAATATTAAATATCAATATATTATTTTTATTCAGTATTATCAGAGCATGTGAGCAGAGCATAGCGGGGAGCAGATCAGTGAATGAGAGGGGAGCGTCATTTTACCAGCGTTGCCCAGTACAGCTGTACTACACCATGTTACAGCACAGTAGCGCTATTGCAAACAGGAACAAGTTTACTAAATAGAAATTTCCTGCCGGCGGGTTGAGCGGACTTTGCTTTTTCAGTGAGCATGAGCGGAACGTCACAGTGACAGCGGCTAGAGGGAGAGTGAAACCTGCGCACTGAACACTGCTGGCGGTGCAGCACTATATATTTTCAGCCGAAAACCAAAAATGCCATTTTTGGCGGCCGAAAAAATATCATTGGTATCCCATAGGACTTGAGTCTCCTGCTTCTCAAACTTGTCTCCTGAGACAAAAACTCTAACACTCTCACAATGGTCTCATTTAAAGCTTTAAAAGAGATCTCAACAACGTCACACACTCTGCTCAAATATTTCTCCTTAGCTAGAGACTCTGGATCTCCCACATTTGTCTCCTCCAAAGTTTCAAACAAGATCTCAACAGCATCACAAACTATGCTTAGATTTTTCTCTGTAGCTAAATAAACTGGGGGTCTCATATTTGTCTCCTGTAAAGCTTTAGAAGAGATCTCAACAGCTTTACAAAGTGTGCATAAAGTCAAGTACTCGAAAGGCACTAAATAAAAGGCTATATTGCGAGAGAGTTGACTTGGTGCACACTTTGTAAAGTTATTGAGATCACTTCTGAAATTTAGAGGAGACAAATGTGAGAGCTCCCGAGTCTTTAGTGTTGGAGAAAAATCTGAGCACACTGTAATGTTGTTGAGACCTCTTCTAAATTTTAGAGGAGACAAATGTGAGAGATCCAGAGTCTCTAGCTAAGGAGAAATATCCAAGCACAATGTGTAAAGTTATTGAGATCTCTTCTAAAGCTTTAAAAGAGACAAATGTGAGAGATCCAGAGTCTCTAGCTAAGGAGAAATATCTGAGCACAATGTGTAAAGTTATTGAGATCTCTTCTAAAGCTTTAAAGAAGACCATTGTGAGAATGTTAAGAGTTTTTGTCTCAGGAGACAAGTTTGAGAAGCAGGAGACTCAAGCAAAAGTTTCCATTCAATCTTAAAGTAACCTCATTTCTGTCTAAGAGAAATATTTGAAATGGTAAAGAGATCTCTTTTTAAATTTTTTTCCCTCTGGTTAGCTTCAATGTCATTTATCCACACCATTTCAATCAAAGACAATACATGCATTGTCATATTTTAAGTTGTTTTATGTAGACAGTGTTTTATTGCACAGTGATTTAACAGAGGAAACCATAACCTATATTTACACACATGCAAAAATGGGCTACACAAGACAACATTTTGATACTAAACAAAGCAAAAAAAAAAAAAAAAGTGTTACATTTCTTTAAAAAAAGGTATTGCTCTTATACTAAACATCTTGCACTTGTAAGTCCTTTCTAGTGTGTTTGGAAAATGTGGTGTATACTATACAATGCTGGACATTGAAGATAAATTTAAACATTGATATTCTGAAATGTTTAATGCTATTTAAATGATAGTTTTAGTATTTACAATATTAGTAAAAGTTTAGCGTTTCTCCTAAAATAAAACTGAAGACATCTTAAGACAAAGCTGATATCTCAATGAGACATATAAGAGAATCACCCCTTAGTATCCGGAGTGTAGAGTAATCTCTGTCAGAGCCATAGCCTTGTGGACAGCACATCGACGTGAAGGCACAACTGCACCTTAAACAGCAAGGGTTCGAATCCCAGCTAAAGGTACTTTCCTGCTCCTGTTCAATTCTGTCCAATTATTTCCGGTCTCTACTCCTACTGTCCTGACCATTAAAGGTGAAAAACCCCATTGCAATAAAAAACGCAACCTCTGAGCAGTAAAACTTTTTTATAATGGAGTCTTGCAAGAGATTACAGCAAGACAATAAAGAGATCTCCCATGTTTCTCACATGTTTCTCGCCCATTGTCATATTGGATTCCTTTCTTTCAGAATTTTCTCATGTCTCAGTTGTGTCTACTTTTATTTCTCCTAAGGATTCTGAGGCACTGTTGAGACTAAAATGAGAAATACATGAGAATCACAACTAAGTCTCCTGAGGTTAGAAAGAGCAACCACTGAGCAATAAACTATTTCTATAATGGAGTCTTGATAGAGATTGCAGCAAGACAATAAAGAGATATTCTATGTTTCTTCCACCACATTCTCAGTTTTGACTCTTTTTTTCTCAAATATTTCTCATGTCTCATTTGTGTCTACTTCTATTTCTCCTAAGGAATTTTACGAGAAATATCTGAAATGCTGTTGATACTAAAATAAGAGATATATAAGAATTTCATCTAAGTCTCCTGAGCTTAGGAAAAGCAACCACTGAGCAATACATTTTTCCTATGGGATACTACTTCCGCTGCCTCACCGGAAGTTGTACCCACGTTCTTTTTTACAGTAGCGCCCCCCGGAAACAGATGGATAATTTATTATAATTTGCCATGTGGAGACAAAATGTAAATGTGGCTTTAAATCACGACCATAAAAAAGAGGCAGAGCTCAGCTGGAGTCTGTTCCAATTAGCTGTCTTTCCTGATGATATTGATCATAATATGAGCTCTCCATGAATCCCGCGGAGCTGCGCTAATATAATGTATCACACAGCAGACCCACATTCCCTGCCTAAGGAGAGTGGAAATATAGAGCGGCATAAAAATATGCTGCAGTTAAGGCCTGTGGACCCCCCCAAAGAGCAATAACACATATCACTTTGATGCATTCATAGCAGAAGTCTTATTTATACAGATGAATGAAGAGTCAAGAGCTGCTACACTTGACTCAACCCACAGGTCCCCATGAGGTGAGATCTGCTCAACAGCAGAAGCTGAGAAACCTGCTCTGGAGGGTAGAAAGAGGGGAAACTGCTAAATAATAAACTCTAGAATAACAGTGGATGTGGAGGAAAATATTTACAAAGACACAGGAGTCTCTTTTATACTAGGGAAGTGAGCTAAGAAGTGAGAGTGTGCATACTATATTCCTGTGAATGGAGAGTCAACAGAAGTGGGGAGGTTTCAGGTTGTTCTTAAATCTACTGTAACACAATCTGACGACATCGATAGGATTTACGAAACCCCTTCTTACGGCTCATGAGAACCCAGCCATCTCGGAATACCAACATCCCCAATGCCGCAATCCAAAACCGTGCAGTCTGCGGCATGAGAGGACTGAAGCTGCTATTCGTCCGCTCGAGAACAGCAGGTCAGAGATTCTGAATAATTAATCACAGTGAAGTGCAAGCCAGACCGAAGCCAAGTAAAAACACAGTACACTGTAGTTACAAGGGCTGAGTGATATACTGAATATTCACTAGGGGTGTGTGATACTGACAAAAAAAATTATATCTCAATGTTTTTTTTGTACTTCAGCTAGTTTAGGCCTGTTGTGGACTCACAACGCTCTTCATATTCTCTGTGGTTGGTTATTTCACACATTATATGACATTATAGACATTATAGGGTTGTTATCAGTCAAATGAAACAAAATCCATTTTTGCACTGCAAAAGTGGCACAGGAGAGGCATCTGAAGTGCATTTAGATTTATAACTGTTTTATGCAGATCAGAGTTGGCATAAATGCATTCATTATTATTTATTATCAATGAGTGAGGTATTGAATTAAAAAAAAAAAACACTGATTCATTCAGAAAGGAAGCAAGCAGCTTTATGAATGGGTTATTAATAATTCACTCAAATTATTTATTCAAAAACACTGAGCTTTGACACGCAACAGTTCTGCTCTGGCTTTGTTTGGGGCTACTTTCTTATTTTTTGCAAAGTGAGTTAGATACTCAATAATCGCACATTGTTAAAATAACAGTTATGATTTTATAGAAAATAAATAATGCACACACCTAATATTCACAATACTTTTGCGAAAATAACTGAGACTGAACAAATATCAGAATCAGAATTAGCTTTATTCACCAGGTGTGCGCAAACACACTAGGAATTTGTTGTGTTTTTATTTTATAAGGTGCTCCTGGTACATACATACATACATAAATACATACACATCTGACATGAGAACAGAAAAAACATTTAAATAGTAAGACTTAACAAAAAATAATGTGTATACAAAAAATAATGTGTATGAATCTGGAACAGTAGATTTATGTACAGATTTGTGCATTTGTACTCTATATAGAACTGTATAAATAAGAGATATCCATATGTATTTACATAATACTTGAGAAAAAGGCAATAATTAAAGATGTAGAATGAATTACGGAAATGAATTACAGAACACAGGTGTTAGCTGTGTTAGCTAACACCTGTGTTAGCTGTTTAAGCTGGAGATGGCATTGGGGAAAAAACTGCTTTTATGCCTAGATGTTCTAGTGCGCAGAGATCTGTAGCGTCTGCCTGAAGGGAGAAGTGCAAACAGGTTGTGTACGGGGTGAGAGGGGTCTTTGATGATGTTTCCTGCCCATTTCTTCACTCTGGAGTTGTACAAGTCCTGAAGACTGGGCAGATGCACACCAATGATCCGTCCTGCTGTCCTAACAGTCCGTTGCAGTCTTCTTAAATCTGATTTGCTGGCTGACCCAAACCAGACAGTTATAGAAGAGCACAGAACCGACTCAATAATAGCTGAGTAAAACTGT